CCCGCCTCAGACGGCTGTGTTTTGTAATTTACGGCCGAACCCCTCCGCAAAACACCCGCACAGCAAGGATGGGGGGGGGATTTCGGGGAGTGGAAGTCCACTCATCTTAAAGTGGCCAAGTTTGGACAACACTGACATAGATACCGTCTCCATGATGATCTGCCCCCAACCTAGTCCTTCAGGTCTTCCAACAGCCCACCCATCACCATTGTAATGGAGTCCATCCATTGTTGCTGGTTGTCCTCTTGTCTTCCTCTCTTTCGTTTCACCTTTCCCAGCATTATGGACTTCTCAAGGGAACCAGGTCTTTGCATTGATTGATTATGTGCCATCAAGACAGTGTGGACTCTTAGAAACCACACGGATAGACTTTCTCCTGTCCCTAACCTGGTCCTTCAGGTCTTCCAATGGTGCACCCATTCCCACTGGAATCAAGTCCATCCACCTTCTGCCGGCCCTTCTCTTCTTTTCTTTCCTTCCTTTCCCAGCATTATGGACTTCTCAAGAGAACTGGGTCTTCGCATATATCTATGTTATACCCATAGCTACAACTTCAGCTACAGTTTTACCTAGATCTATACCTGCATTTACAACTACCCATAGAACTATACAGATCTAGTGTAATGGATGGCCTGAGTGGGGAAGATTCTGGAATGGAGCTTCAAGGTGGTCAGGAGGGGGGAGAGGGCAAGTGCCTGCAACAGCCCGCAACAAGAGTGTGGGAAGATGATGAGGATGAGGCTGGCCCCTCCCTAGAGTCCCACTAGTTGCTTTAGCATAGGTTGAGTCTGGCGAGATTCTGTCCATTAGGTGCGAGCTAATAAAGGAACTGAACTGTACTGGCTTGCCCGTTGCTGTTCTTGACCTGACATCAATCTTGCCAGGCTCAACCTATGCTAAAGCAACTGGTGGCTATACCCTGTGAGGCTCTACGGAGGGGCCAGCCTCGTCCTCTTCGCCTTCCCACACTCCTGCTGCGGGCTGAGAGACTTGCCCTGGAACGCCTCCCCCCCTCCTGACAACCTTGACCCTCCATTCCAGAATCCTCCCCGCTCGTGCCATCCATTACATCTAGATGGGTCTAGGTCTAGGTCTTGATCTAGGTATCAGTCCTGGACAATCCAGAATCTTCCAAAGCTGGGCTGTGGCATATATATCTTTATACAGTAGATATAGATGATCTATCTTTACCTCTATGATCTCAATCTGGATCTCAGTTTGGACCTAGATCCAGATAGCACTCCTGGCCAATGCAGAGCCGTTTGATAGCCAGGCTGTAGGGTATGTACCTGTATATCTGTAGGTATAAATATAATTCTCTATCTATATAGATATAGACCCTACAGTCTAGCTGCTCACCTGTGGCCGGTCAATTTATTTACTTATTTCTTAAATTTGTACACCCCCCGACTCCCGGAGACTCTTGATGTTGGTGCCCAAATATCAAGGCTGACCCCTTTTCTTTTAGGGCAGGGTGATGGCCCTCTAGATTGGAGCTGGAAAGAAAGGCAGCTTAGGGGATAACAGCCAAAGGGGTCGAAAAAGTTAAGATGGTGGCACATTTTTTACATGTGCCACCCTCTTAACTCTGCTGATCATCAATTCTACTTTGATTACTTTCTATACCTTTTCTTTGCTCTGCTCTGCACTTGAGTTTTTGAACCTGGAGGTGTAAACAGACCAAGAGAGGCAGGGGGATTCCTGGCTGGAAAATTGGGCTGTTTCACTGGCAAGCCTGAAATTTGTGGCAATATAACTTAGCTCTGTCTGGCAGAGGAGATCTTCCCTATCTACTATTGGTGGTTGTTTTTAATTTGTTTTTATGATTGCACGCTGCCCAGAGTCACTACAGAGTTGGGGGGCCTTATACATGTATTGGATAGATGGATAGATGGATAGATGGATAGATGGATAGATGGATAGATGGATAGATGGATAGATGGATAGATGTAGAGTGACAGAGATGATAGCTAGATGATAGATAGACAGATGTTAGAGATGGATGGATGGATGGATAGATAGATAGATAGATCAGATAGATGATAGATAGTTAGATGTAGAGTGACAGAGATAGAGATGATAGCTAGATGATAGACAGATGTTAGAGATAGATGGATGGATGGATGGATGGATGGATGGATGGATGGATGGATAGATCAGATTGATGATAGATAGATAGATGAAGAGTGACAGAGATGATAGCTAGATGATAGATAGACAGATGTTAGAGATGGATGGATGGATGGATGGATGGATGGATGGATGGATAGGATAGATAGATAGATAGATAGATAGATAGATAGATAGATAGATCAGATAGATCGAGAGTCCTCCATTCAGGTTTCCCAGTCTTTCAGTACTGGAGATCAACACCCAACACCATGTTCTCCAGATGTTTTGGACTAGGAAGGGATTGGCAAGGTTTGAAGAATCGGCACAACTTTGCTGTCTAACTTTCCACATGGCTGTGCTGTATTAGCGTATTATGGGATATGCTATTGTCTTGGCTGCTATGCCTTTTAATTTTTGCAATTGTTTTTATTTTATTTTAATTTTGTTTGCTGCCCAGAGTCACTTGTTGAGATCGGCAGCCATTTAAAAGGAATGAATGAATGAATGAATGAATGAATGAATGAATGAATGAATGAATTTACCATCATGGTTGAAGTCATAGATATAATCTGGACAGGGCATGGATATCACCTTTCCTGGGGCCCCTTCAGGCCAACAAATGAGGTTGTCCCACTCGGGGGCACAGAAACCGTCTGCAAGACAAAAATGAGAAAGTTGGGCTGTGATGGGAGGACAGACACAGGTCACTGCAGAGAAATGTGACTAGTCCAGTCAAAACCCATGGCTAGTGACCTAGAGATTCTGCAGATATATACACGGGAACATTCCACACTTAACAACTGTGCAACGTAACAACACTTCCTTTCTCTCCACTTGCCACATTAGAACAGAGAATCGTGGCTTGTTGCACCTTTACAAAAGCTGAAATTATGCCACAAATTCTGGGCATTGAAGTCCACCCATCTTGACGGTGCTGAAACACTGATCTCAGCCCATCGTTTACCATTTATGAACAAGGATTGCCCAAGAAAGTCTCCTTCCAGCCAGACTACTAAATAAACAGATGAACGTGCCACCCCAAACATTTTTCTGACCGGGCATGCCGTTGGTGTTCAGACGGGCTGGGCTCATCTGTGAAATTTTCTCTCTAGAAGCTCCGATCAGCGTTAGCTCACCACTGGAAATACTGTATAGCAGATCAGCGAACAGGATGTTTTCGGCGGCAGTGTAAAGTTGACCAAAGCAAGTGCGTGCCTCTCTTTCCACGAGCTGTCCCTTTTAAGCCCACTATTCAGGTTGCGGGTGTGTTTTTCTAGAAATGGAATTCTGACTAAGATGCTCTGGATGTGGAAGGTAAGTTCTGGTTTTTACACTGCCTGGATAAGTACAGTGTAAATATGCTCATTGCTGGTTTTTTAATTCTTTCTTTGAGTCCACTTCTTTGCTGCTTGATGGCGGATGCATAAGAATGCCACGCAGAATATGTAGCAAGGCTGTCCTTCGCCATGGGTAGGGACCAGCTTCGTTTTTTGGTTCCACCCAGCATGGCTCCCTTTATTTGATTATCACGTCAGTCTCAACGTTTAAATTAGGCCACATTTCAGAGTGCCAGACTGAGATTTTGCTGTTCTCAAGGTTTCGCTCCTTCCCTCTCTTTCTTTCCCCTCTCCATGTTTTGTGCTTGACTCAACTCCTGCTCCCCATGAGGAGCACATTAAAACCATCTGCACCCTGGCAGGGAAACAGGATCCAAACAAGGTCCCAAGGTGTTTGTCTAGCAGGGCAGAGTATAAATCATCCCAAGGTTAGGCTGGCACTCTCAACGAGGCAGTGGCGACCGCAGGCGGGATGCGGTGTGCCGTTGCGGTCAGTCTATGACAGGAAGGACAAGCCGTGCTTGGAAAGAAACGGGACAGAGCGGCCCAAAATATTTCAGAAGAAGTAAAGGAAAAAGGGAAGGGAAGGGAAGGGAAGGGAAGGGAAGGGAAGGG